AGAAAATAATACTTCAAACACCCCATTCAACCATTAGTGTATGTGTACAGTAAATCTGTAAGGAGGATGAGTACTCCAGCATCGCCACCTCAGTCTCCAATTTTAGTAACCCTGAAGGCACAGTGAGACAGTAGGAGCACTTCCTTTTCAGACTGTTGGTTACCATGTGTTCAGCTCTGTTCAGTCATATTGCTACTGAGGCTTCCAGCAGTGCTACATAATGGCTGTTTATGTTGGCCTCTCCCAGTATACCACCAGATCATCTTCTCTCCATCCTTTGTTCACAAATGAGTTACTTCTATCTTGTGTTGCTTAAAGATTCTCCCTAAAAGAAAAAGCTTCCTCTATGTCAAAGGACAGCAAATTCTGTGGTATGTATATGCATGCATAAACACAGACAAATTAAGGAAGTCACAGGATTCACCTTAGCTTCCATCGGCCAGCATTAAATAACATGACTCAGGGACTCAGGAGGATGAGGACTTGGTCTGGGGAAGAGGCATAATTAAACAACCTTCACATATTCTTTTCCACTTTAAAATATTTTGTTACTGCTCACTTTTTATGTGGGGACCAAACTGTCATTTATCTCCAATACCCAACATTTAAATGGCTTTTCTTTGCAATGAGGTGCCTAAACTATCTGCCCTTCAGTGTTTAGTCTTCTGCTGCACTTATTTCGCACACAAATTTGATTTGAATGCAAAAAATACAGAAACAGAAATCTGCAGGAATTTTCAGAAGGGAGTAAGATGAACTTTCAGCCAGCATATTCATGACCAGGAAAAGCTGGACATTCTACTGCCTTCAAATAAGAATTCTTGTGTGGAAGCAACACTGGATAGAAGTTGGAGAGAAGGACTATGGGGTTAATTCCCTGCTCCCCTTAGAGGAGATGTAATGAAAAAGATTTTGCATGAGGCACTTGCTTGCTTGCTTATTTATTTACTTATTTACTCAATTACTCACTTAACTACAAGGCCCAAGGCAGCTCATATATGACCCAATATGAGAAAAAAAACTGTAAGTGCCTGCAAAAAACAAAACAAAACAAAACAAAAACCCCACAGTGATTCTGTGAGAAAAGCCATACAAACATTCTGTAAGATATGTGCCTACAACGTATTTTGGGCAAATTTGTGCTTAGATCAATGGAGTTGAGAAAGAAATTCAAAATCATTCCTTATGATTTCTTCAAGGTAAGTATGTATGATGATGGTGTATGGGCTAATAATTCGATTCCCTATTGGTCAGCTCATTGCATCACATATTCTGCAATAGTCTGGTCAAGTAATTTAATTTGTTTTGTTTTTTCAAGCATCCTGTCAAATCAGTTTCTGTGACAGAATATACCTCATTAATATCTATGGTCCATAAAAATCTACAAAGGACACACCGGACTTTATAAAACCAATACCTTAAAATGATGGAAGATCTACAATTACACAACTTACAGTGCATTTCAGATAATTTAAATTTAACTGCATCCCAACCTTGCCATCATATTTGCATTGGTCAGTAAACAACTACTATTAGTAAACCCTCCGTTAATTATTATCATACAAGAAAATCAAAATGTATCTGCATATTATTGCTCTCCGCAAAGGATAGTAGGTAGGTACTGTACTTCAAAATCTAACACCATTAGCACAAAATGTATCAAGAAATATATGACTATTTTTGCTTAATTTGCCCCCAATTCAGATCCTCATCTGTAACAGTACCATTAGTTTCCATATGTTCTGATATTTAAAGCATGGAACACCTTTGTTTTATTGACCTGCGGGGTCTTGATAGACCTCAGCTGCATCCATCTGAGTGACAGGTCTCAACCTTTTGTCTGTTACTTCCTTCCAATAACTCTTTCAGATTGCTTAAGTGACTCTAAAATCCTTTTTTCCTTCTTCATGGAGTACCTTTGCATGTTTACAGAGCTTTTCTTGTTATATTACTTACAGTTCAGTTTTAATGACATAAAACTTGCACCAGTATTGTTGCCAGCCTATAGACACAAATAATAATCCTACTGGTAGCTGAAAATGTAGTAATACTGCTAAGTGCAAATCTTACTGCTAGAGTAACTATAAAACATAAATAAATAATAAATAAAATAGAAAATAAAAATAAGTAATAAATGCAGTACTCTTATTACTGGGATTAATATTTCATATAATATATACAAATATAAACTTAAACATAATGAGAATTCCATAATTAGAGGTACATGTTTTAAAAACCTTGCAATTCACTTGGACTATTGTGCTCAACTAGTGCAGTGGTTAATGTTCCATGCTGGAAAACTTTGGGTAACCCAAGCGTTCTTGGACTGCAACTACCAGAACTCCTGGCCACCACAACTAGTGGTAAAGACTTCTGGGAGTTGTAGTCCAAGAATACCTGGGTTATCCAAGGTCGGGAACCACTGAACTAGTGGTATGTGTGCCACCTGTTGAGAACAATGCCACTAGCTACTGGTGGCCTTTAAGAGTATTACCTTAACAAACAGCAGCATCCTTTATCAGTTAAATCACAATGTGTTTTACAAAATTTAGTTGTGTTAGTTTGTGCTACGTAGCATAGTAGGCAAAGTGGACATGTCTACAAAAACTCACATTAAAATATAGTAATTTGTCTTTAAGATGCAACAATGGTTTTGTTTTCTTTATTTTTCTTTCGTTTTTGCCTGATATATGTTTAAACACATGAAGAGGGCAATGTACTAGTCCTTCAGTAATCACTTTCCCTCCACAGAAAGCTAGACATCTGAAGGCATATAGAAAATCCCTACACGAAGGGGCTCCCTCCATGTGAGCCAGAGGCCTGGAAAATCAGAGTCCCAGCTCACAAAAAACAGAATCCAAACAAGAGAGAGGACTCCAAACACAGTTAGTAACGCCTGGATGGAGCTATTGAGAGCATATCATGCTATTTTCTATCCCTGATGGTTAAAAATTGATTGAGTATAACATTGATAAATCACACATTTTAAAAATTTAGACTGACAGAATTTACCACTTAGAGAGATTACGTGCCCACTTTATGTCATCACTGACATATTCTTTATTGGGGATTTCTCGAAGAGAGACTGCTTTAAGGTTTAGAACCCCGGTCACAATTTATGAGTTCCATTTATTCCAGTGTGTGTACTCTAAACTCTGGAACATCAGTAGAAAAGATTGAAATGTTGCAATCTGTTACTGTGCTCTGAAATCTAATCTGTTGAGATTAATGTTAGATGATGAAATTTTTAGCATGTTGAGTTATGTTAATAGTTACACTCGTGAGGAAAAAAAACACCCAAAGATTGGCAGAAAAAAATCATATGTCACTTCGGTGTGTGCTGCTCGTTGACTCCTCAAATATGATAGAGTGTTGACTAGATTAGAAAAAATTAATAAAATAAAAACAGTGCAGAGTTACTTATGAATATGTCTTACTACATTCACTGGTCTTACTCCCTCATATACATCTATTAGTTTTTATTGATGACATGTACAGCTCATTTTCTTCTCCAGTTAACGCAAGGCAACATAAATGGTTTCCCCTCAATGACTTCCCTATGAATCAGACCAAGGGATCCTGTAGATTCTAAGAAACAGGGTAACCAGTTCTAAAAATGTACTGAAAACAGGAAATTGGTGTAGCGTGCATGCATGATAACATTTAAACAGTAAAATACAATAAATTTTTAACAGTTCTGTTCCTTCTCCTTTACAAAATACGGTTTAAAAAACAATTTTGTTTTTTGGAAGCATATCTTTTCTTTACATAACAATTTCAAATAAAAGTTTATGTTTATATTAACAAATTATTTAATATAAAGGTTTGAGCTAGAGCACACCCTACATTCCAAATCAAGCTACTCAGTATGCAACATATAGTGTCTACAGTGATTTCTTAACTTAAGGTCAATTCAGTTCCAAAGGTTACACAACTTGCATAACTGCACAACAGGATTCCAGCAACTGAATTAAATTTGATCAGTAGGACTTAACATGAGTGTTGACTTTAAAAGTCCCATTCTTTCAGTAGATCTGCTCCAGTTGCAACTATTGATTTAGCTGAATAGTTCCTGGAAAGTGTCATTCCGATAATACTTATCTCTCATTTGAATGTGAAAGCTAAAGGCTATATGTATTCGCGAAGGCTTTCACAGCCAGGATCTAATGATTGTTGTGGGTTTTTTGGGCTCTTTGGCCGTGTTCTGAGGGTTGTTCTTCCTAATGTTTCGCCAATCTCTGTGGCCGGCATCTAATAAAGGCTATATTTTGTTGTGATTGGCTCCATTGCCCTCTACAAAATACTTCTCAAACTTCAAAACATTTCACCACAACAGTTAATGACTCATGATATTAAACCAGATTTTTTGAAAATTAAAAATGGAATGGAGCCATGTATCAGTGCCTGCAAGTCACATAAGTTTTTTGGTCTCAGGTTTAATTTATCTTATTGTTTTCCAAAATGGAAATATAATGTCTACAAGTTGTATAGAGAGTTCTAAGACATAATTTTAATTGTGTTTTAACTAATTCATTCCTAAGTAAGGTTTTAATCAAGACTTTTTTAAATTTGTATTTTACTTTTTTAAGTACCTTAAGTACCATACCAAAAAATAAAGGCTATATTTTGTTGTGATTGGCTCCATTGCCCTCTACAAAATACTTCTCAAACTTCAAAACATTTCACCACAACAGTTAATGACTCATGATATTAAACCAGATTTTTTGAAAATTAAAAATGGAATGAAGCCATGGATCAGTGCCTGCAAGTCACATAAGTTTTTTGGTCTCAGGTTTAATTTATCTTATTGTTATTTATCTTAATAGTGTTTTAACTAATTCATTTCTAAGTAAGGTTTTAATCAAGACTTTTTTAAATTTGTATTTTACTTTTTTAAGTACCTTAAGTACCAAAACAAGATACAAACCAGAGGAAGGAAGAAGGGAAGGGAGCCCATACCATTCAGATCTGAGGCAGCTGATTATGAATGTAAAACATACCTGATAGTCCAAAATACTGAATCCTAGGCCAGTTTGTGAATTTTTTGTAAGTGTAACAACTTTGACTTCAGAAGACCATACTGCTAGGTCTGCATCTTCATCCTCCTGTGCATCCTCTGGAGTTTTGGGTCTGACCTGAAGAATAAAGTAATGCTGTTTTTAATTGCTAGATCCACTGAATACATGTAAAGTGAAGAGGTCACTTTGCTTGAAATTTAAATAGCGGCATAACATTAAGTATAGGGTTTTTGTTCATTTTAAGTTAAAACAAGAGTCATTAACATCCAAGTCTTCATGGGACCAAGATGTATTCATTTTAGATTGAGAAGATAGATGATTTGAGAGAGGTCAAAGAGGTTCAAACGTACATGTGCATATAGAAAATCTCTCACTCAATAGGTGTGGAAGCCTTAGATACAATCTGTCTCCTATTTCTCATGCTGCCCTTTCATTATTCCCCAGAAGGATTAGGGACACACACAAGAAAGATCGCTGTTAACAACCATCAACAACCCATGACAGTGGGTGGAGGAAGACTGCATAATTATCCCTCACCCCCAGTCCTTTGTCCTTGTAATGAGCCTATTCAGACCAGGGGGAAGTGAAAATTGAAGATATATCAGGGATCTTCTACCAACCCTCCTCAGAATGAAGAAGTGCTTGGATGAGTAGCAAAAGGTTTCAACCTAACAAGAAAGAAATCCAGCTGCCATGACTCAGCTTCCAGATAACCACACCTGAGTGACTGAGAATCTTCACAAATGGTCCGCCTAGCTGTTTTCTAGCTTTGGTCTCACTGCACCAAAGTTAGATCTTGCTACAAACTGAGCGTACCTGCACTTTGCCAAATACTTTTATTCTCTTCCCTTGACACTGACTGTGCACACCATCAAGATGACATGTCAGTAAAACAACATGAAAACTATAACCAATTTTGATCATATTGCTCAAGATCCCAGAGCCAGGTTCGGGCTTCATGATGTGTTGGACACACTGGCTGAAATCCTTTCCTCTTAAGTTATACTCCATAAGACTGATGATGTCATCAACCATTGCAATGTTTTTGATCCCACCTCACAAGGTCCTGAGGTTCCTGTGGAATCCCTTTCATTGTCAGGAAGCCACTGGAATGCCATGGGATGGAGGGGAGAGTCTTTAATTACCAAAAATCACCACCCAGATGACTTTTGTTAGCAATTGTTTTCAGGAATTGAAGACCTTCCCTCCAAATCCCTAATGACTTTCTGACATCAAAATGGATTCCATGTAAGCTTCAGGACCTTTAGGAGGAGATTAAAAAGTTTATTTCTGGAAAATTGCCACAGTTGATAACATAATCAGCAATACGCCATATAACTTATGGAAGAAGGTTTTGGCTACTGTGTGCTTTTCCAACATTGTTGACATGATGGAAAGGGAGCGTGATATTATCATGAATTATTGCAACCTTATCACCTCCACAGGCCAGCACTGACATAAAGGGAATGAGAATGCCTCATGACAAGCAATGTATACAGGAGAAGAGAAGCTTTAAGAGTAGATGGGTCATGTGATAAATTGTAGTAGAAACTATAAGGATGTAACATGATAACCAGTATCTATTTTCCCTCACTATCTTAGACACCATCTTTAAAGGGCTGTGCTCTGAACAGACCAATATCCCATACAAATAAAAAAAAACACAAGACCATAAAGAGATCATTTATACCATCATACCATATTTCAAAGGAAAGATCATAAATATTAGACCACTTGAGTCTTGAATGGCAAAGTTATGACTATCTGCACTAGAAAATTTAAAAACATCAGCTAGAATCCTACTGGTGTTCAGGCCAGGTCTGCACAACTTCCTGTGGCTGTTTGTGGCTGATTAACGAGATGCTGGGACACAAAATGTATATGAACAGGGTTCAGGCCACTCAGTGACAAAAAACAAAAACAAAAAACAAAAAAAAACCCAGTTCATATGTAAGTGGCTTCACATATACATGGTCCAAAGAGACTGACAAGGTTTGGTGATTTTCTTCTTATGCAGCTCAAAACAGCAAAGCTCATGTGCAAGTATTTGCAATGCATAAATCAATTTCACAGTTATCAAAATAGGTCAGGTTTGTGTCGAAGAAGGTATATCGAAGGAAAGATGAAGGAGACCACACACAAAAATGACAGCAGAAAGAATCCAAAATGTTGCCCAAACAGTATTATAGTATTCCACAAGTGTGAAGGAGCCCCCCCAAAAAAACACACACACACAAAAAACCAAACTTGAGTTGATTTGCTGAAACAATCTGACAGTGTGCTGAACTGATTCCAGTGGAACTTTTTACAACAGGTGAGCATGTTTGTGAAAATTCCTGATTTCAATCAATTCCTTCTTCAGCCCTTTGCTGTGTATTTACATCATTCCAACAGTTCTCTTAAACTGCCCCCCCCAAGTCATTCTTAGGGTGAATAACCACCAGCTGTAAACTCATGTTGCCAGATGAACCTCTATCACTTGGTTCTTGGCATCTAATCCATTATCAGTTTTGTACCTTACACATATTTGCATTGTATTACTGGGGACTTTGTCTATTTCGAGTCCTTCTTCTTCTTCTTTTTAAATTTTTGTATCACATCACAGATTTCAAGGGATTTCCAAGATTAATTACTCCAGCATCCTTGCCAATGCAGAAATATACAGCTAAAGCATTTCTGACAAATGTCCAGAAAAATGCCCTGTATTTAAAAATCTCTAATGGAGGAAAGTCTATTGCCTCCCAATGTCTTACTATCAGACATTCTTTCTAATGTTGAACCAGTTATCTCCTGTCTTGTAAATGGAATCCACTGCCTTGGTTCCTACCTTCCGGAACCACAAAAATACAAGCTTCCTCCATCTTCTATGTGAGAAAACTTCAAATATTGAAGATTGCTATCACATCACTTCTGAGTTTAGCTCGGTGGTTTAAGTATCTGGATGTGGAGCCAGAGGCTGGGAGTTCGATTCCCCGCTGTGCCTCTCTGACAGACTTGATGATCCATAGGGTCCCTTTCAACTCTGCAGTTCTAAGATAAGCATGATGATTATGCTGATGGA